ATGTCATTTTCAGTAAGCCTGGATAAGGGACAGGGTTGCGAATGGGGCAGCAAGAATGGCCTGTCCAGCTTGTTTGCACAGAAAACCAACTTCCTTAATCTGCACTTTTGGCAGATGCTTAGAGAAATCATCAAGTTCAAGGACGATGTCCTCAGGTGATGACCCATTTGTCTTTCATTTACTACATAACATTTTTTCTTATATGAGAGCTAGGAAGATTTGAACATCAAACTTAATTTCCTAAACCTCATCAAAGCGTCTTTGATTGACCACTGAGCATAAGAAAATCATATTATTGTAGGAAAGCATGAAAATTAGTCAAGCCAAGTCCAACTATATCACTGCCATTACAGTTATCTTGAAGTGGTGTTGAATGCTTACTTGTTATCTTTTTGACCGGAGGGGAACTTTATTCCCCTTCGCCACGATAGAAAGGTGGAAACGTTATCATCTTCTTCCCGTTTTTACAGTTATCTTGAAGTTCTTGAGAACAACCCAGACATTGCTCGTGATGAGACTTTGGGGCAGTTTGTCAAGGCACGGGGTTACTCTGAATTATTTCAGAAAGCTTATCTGGTGAGATCATTGATACCCTTGATTTAAATTCATACCCTTTTCTAGTGAATTCTACTTCTTTTTGTTTTTTCTTTCATCAGCTCAGTAGCCATTAGAGATGACCATATTAGAGTTTCTATAGGTCCCTATATGTGGTTCGATATGGTCCTGCCCCTCAGAGGGAGTTATGAGCTTTTCAGCTTACTCTGTTCTCTCATTTTGCCGCAATCATCATCTACTTCAGGTACATTCTTCCCCAACTAGGAATTATGTACCCACATGCTGACATGTATTTGTGTTTATGCCTGTGAGAATTCCATTCCCATTAACTGTTACTTCATATCATTGTTTTAGTTGTTAATATGCTAAAATTTGCACAACAAAAGTATGCTGCTTTCATGCTAGAGATTTCCATAACAAAGGAGGTTTTTTTTTTTCTTTTTTTTTTATGGTTGTATCACTATATTGCTTGGTTGTTTCGTTTTTGTAGCTTTTTGGCCGTCCCCAGTGGTTAACTGTTAAAGGGCGTTCACATCGTTATGTTGATAAGGTAAGGAGCTGGAGCTGGTTTGCCCTTCTTTCTCTCCTTTTTTTTTTCCTCAAATTTGAAGGATTCACTTAAATTGTTTCTGCATAGGCTTTTGAAAATATTCAAATGATGTCCATATGCTTTAGATGTAAGCTCAAAACACATCCCTTGCAATTGTGTGATTTTCTGTATATATCAGGTCAGAGAAGAGCTTGAGACCAGGGGTTGCCAAATAAGAACTGGTTGTGAGGTGAAGGCTGTTTTGACTGCTAATGAGGGTGAGTATTCATTATTTTACTTATATGTGCTTCATTATGTGAGATTTAGGCAACCAAGCTGGATAAACAATTCCTTGGCTAATTTAAAAAACACAGAAAGCTAGTTAACTTAGCATCTGAAGCTATGCCGCTTGATGTATAAGTGCTTAGAAGTGCTACTTAACTTATGAACTAACAAAACAACTGAATTCCCAAACTGAAACTCAATGAGTAGGCAATGGTGGATGGAATATGAATCATCAAGTGCCAAAGGGGAAAAATAAATGATAAATACTAACATGATGATTAGGGATTCTTTCTTTTTCAAATTTACTTTTGTCATGACCTGATCTTTGTTTGAAAAACTAACAGAAACTAATATTTTAAGATGGGTTATTCATTGCTTAGGGATATGGTTCATTCTTTTGAATCTGTACTAATCAGAAAGTGCAAGATGTTATCGAGTGCAGATATGAAGATAACATATAAACATTTTTAGAATTCATAGTGACATTTCTTATTGTCAGAAATTAAGGTTCTATTGGTAGCTAAGAGAAGTGGTTTTCAGGTTGTACTGTGTTATGTGGTAATGGTTCCCAAGAGATGTTCACTGGATGTATAATGGCTGTTCATGCTCCAGATGCTTTGAGACTACTAGGAAATGCAGTAACATACGATGAATCAAGAATACTTGGAGCTTTCCAATATGTCTACAGGTTACTTTCTTCCTTAATTTAACTTCTAGACACTTGTGACCTAAATTTTAAAAATTACCACAGTTCACTTAATGGGAATTGGAAAATTAAATTTGGGTAATTTCTTCTATAGCTAAATATCATTTGAGTAACTGCATTGTAGCCTGATATTTTTTAGTGTACTGAAATTTTTTTTGTCAAAAATCAATATCATTAGGAGAATTTTCTCAACTGATGTTTAGCAGCATAACCAAATATACGAGGAAGATCATAATTTCAGATGTGAATTTGCAATTGAATGCGTCAAAAATTTTAGAATAACCTTATGAAAGTATTTTACGGAAAATTATTTTTGCTTCAATCATGCATTGTTTCCCTATGCTCTGTATTCCTTCTGGTTTTGAAAAGTGTGCAACTGAGAACAGGTGTGCCTCTCATCTTGAATGATTACTCAATGTAGTTTTGCACAATCATTTGTTAACTCTTTATTGGCAGTGATATATTCCTTCATCGTGACCAAACTTTAATGCCCAAAAACCCAGCAGCATGGAGTGCATGGAATTTTCTTGGAAGTAAAGAGAAGAAAGTATGTTTGACATACTGGCTCAATGTGCTTCAGGTATGTAACTCTGTTTGTACTGAATTTGAATTTATGGCTCTAAGAAATTGTTTTAGAATATGATATAATTCAAGTGTACATTGTTCCTCAAATTCAAAATTGTTAAAACAATATCTAGTTACTTTTTTTATCATGGGGCATAATGATCTCGGTAGGACAAGTTTAAGAGCTTTGGCAAGATAGATTTCTATTCCATTCTATCCTAGAAAATTTAGGAATTGCAAAATTATATATTTTTTTTCCAATGGAAGGAAGAAAGTTCAAACCAAAAAAAAAAAGAAAAAAAAAATCCTCTATTAATTAGGCAATTTTGAAAGAAAATTGTCTCAGGCCTAAAACTCTGAAAGAAAATGTTCATTTAAATAATCTAACCATAGCCTGCAACTTATGAACCTGCAGAATATTGACGGAACAATACCTTTTCTGGTAACTCTGAATCCTGATCAGACACCAAAACATACCATACTTAAGTGGACAACTGGCCATCCAGTCCCATCTGTTGCTGCAACTAAAGCTTCCCTTGAGCTTGATCTTATTCAAGGGAAGAGAGGAATTTGGTTCTGCGGAGCATACCAAGGTTAGCTGATTTAATTCCAGCCTTATGAATGGAGGGTGTCTTTTTCTCAATCAAGTTTTTAAAGCTTTTCCATGTTTAAATTTATGGAGACATCTTTCTTAAAACTGAATTGTAATGGGGAGATTTATTCTTGAGGCCTCACATTGCAAATTGACTTGTAGAAAAAAATTGGACATTCATGCAAAAATATCACTTTCTGTTACTGCTATTTTGAAAAATGTGATGTTTTCATTTTCAATACACCATTGCTGCATACTTACTGAATGTTCTGGTTTCATATTTATGCTCTAATTTTGGTTTCATATTTATGCTCTAATTTTGGTTTCATATTTATGCTCTAATTTTGTTTTACTGATATTACAAATATACTTTGACCTTTCTGGGCTTCAAACATACCTTTTTGCACTTCATCTGAGTAATTTGTGTTATGCTCCTTTCAGGCTACGGCTTCCATGAGGATGGACTCAAGGTAGTAATTGCCTATTTTTGGACTTTATCCTCATTCAGATACAGTGGATAGTTAGCTATAAAAATTGGCATCTTCTTTAGGATAGATTCTTTGGGTAAAATTTTTCATTGCATTTAGATTATATTTTCTGTATCAAACTTTTTGAATAATGGCCACTGCAGTCATGTAATTGGAATTGTTTAAAACTTATCCTTTTTCTTTCTTAAGGTTACTTTCCTTTTAAAACTGTTTGTTAATTTGGTAGCATCAAACTCTCAAGAAAAGTGCCCTTTTTTCCAGGCCGGCATGGTAGCTGCAAATAGTTTGCTGGGAAAAAGTTGTTCCATTCGAAATAATCCAAAACATATGGTACCATCCCTGATAGAAACAGGAGCACGACTTTCTGTTTCTAAGTTCCTCAGAAATTATTTATCAACTGGCTGTGTTATGTAAGTTCTTAAAAAATAAAAGCACATCCTTATTAAGTCAGCTGGCTGCTTTTGGTACTAAAACATATACTTTTATTGGTTTCACACTTTCACTTCACTTGGGATTTCCTGTTAAACGTGCCCATTTTTCTTTTTCCTACCTAATCTACATACAACAGCTTCAAGTTCATCAAGATACCTTATTTGCATGTTTTGATTTCATCAAGATACCTCATTGACATGTTTTCATTTCATCCAATTACTTGCTACATTTAGCTGGTCTTTCCATGTTTCGTTTTTACCTATGTAGTTTTTTTTTTTTTTTTTTTTTTTGCTATTTACACATACTGATACTGAATTTCATATTTTGTTGTGGTACTTGATATATTATATTCTGTTTTTTCACATGTCCAGATTACTGGAAGAAGGTGGCACAATATTTACCTTTGAAGGAAATAATGCAAAATGCTCACGGAAAACTGTGTTGAGAGTGCACAGTCCCCAGTTTTACTTGAAGGTACACACTTCTGATCAATATTAACAGCCTTTAAGATTGATAGGATATGGCATAGAATGGAAGGGTTGTCGAATGTCAAACAACATAATACATTAGAAAAATTTAGAAAATGGCATTGTTATGCGTTTAATATTTAACCCTACTAACAAGCTCTAGAAATGCTTTGTTAGATTATGACTCAGGCAGATCTAGGTCTTGCAGATGCATATATCAATGGAGATTTTTCTTTTGTTGATGCTAATGAAGGTCTTCTAAATCTCTTGATGGTAAGATCATTTATCAAAGCTTCATTACATGGTTAAACCTGTACTTATTTTCATAGAATTTCTTGACTGACTGCAGATTCTCATTGCCAACAGAGATTTGAATGCATCCAGCTCAAAACTTAGTAAGAAAAGGTTTACTGTAACTCCCAGACCACACTAATTTAGTATTGGCATACTCTCCGCATAAACTTCAGTTTACTTAGTAGCTAATGCTTTGGATTTTAGGGGTTGGTGGACACCAATGTTGCTTACAGCTGGTATAGCATCTGCAAAATATTTCTTCAAGCATGTTTCACGGCAGAATACAGTCACACAAGCTCGTAGGAATATTTCTTGTCATTATGACTTGGTATGGGATTATGACCTTTAAATTCCTATATGTATTTGCGTAAATTACAAAAGGAACTGCAGAAAGAAGCAAATAAGTACACATGTTCCTTCTATTTGTGAGTAGTAGAACCACTACTTGTGAATGCACATATGATAAATTTAAGTGTGAAATTCCAGTCATTAGTAAAGAATTAGAACTTTTGGGTTTTTGGTTGCTATTGAATAAACTAATTGTGAGACATTGGAGTGATCTATCAGTTTACAACGCAAATTGTGTCAAACTGTGACCTCAATTCTTCAATCTTAATCCAAGCAAAACATAAAACCTAAATTTTAGGACACAATCATAATTTCTTTATTTCCCTCAACATTCAACCTTATGATCTTAGCCTTTGTGAGGTTAAACTAACAGTGTTTACAAATTCTTTTTCATAACAAGGTAAGTTTTGCTTATTACTGGATATACCAAAGTGGAATCTCATTTCTGTTTCATTTCTGTTCCTAGAGTAATGAACTTTTTGCTCTATTCTTGGACAAAACAATGACGTACTCCTGTGCAGTGTTTAAGGTCAGACTCATTATCATAATGAGTATGCTTATGTTTCATCAAGAGAGCAATTATTGGTTTTTTGGGTTCACTTTTGTAATGTGGTGCAGACTTTCTCTTTAGTGCTAAACTATTTTATTTATTTTGTAGAAGGAAGATGAAGAGTTAATAGTTGCACAACAGAGGAAAATCTCCCTTCTGATCGAAAAGGTTAGTCCTAGGAAAAAACAGTCTCAAATTTCTCATGTTTTCTTTCTATATTCAATCTTTAATCAAAGTCTCCTTGTTTTTGTAGGCAAGAATTAGCAATAAGCATGAGATTCTTGAGATTGGATTTGGTTGGGGTAGTTTAGCCATTGAGGTAGTCAAACAAACAGGATGCAGATACACTGGCATCACTCTATCTCAGGAGCAACTGCAATATGCAGAAATGAAAGTAAAGGAAGCTGGACTTCAGGTATGTTTTAGACAAATGACTTGAGAAAACACAATAGATGTTCAATTGAATTGGAAATCATTTGAAATTAAATTTCCTAGAACAAATCACATCATGTCATATAGAAGCTCAATGTATTTTACTACCAGGACCACATTAGATTTCAACTCTGTGATTATCGCCAATTGCCCAAAACTCAGACATATGACAGAATTATATCATGGTAAGTTTTTTGAGTGCCTTCTTTATAACTAGCAACATTAGATGCCAAACATTTACCAAAATTCTCATTTTTTCCATTTCCAGTGAGATGTTAGAAGCTGTTGGCCATGAATACATGGAGGAGTTTTTTGGTTGCTGTGAATCAGTATTAGCAGAAGATGGACTTCTTGTTCTACAGGTAATAACAAAATTGAGAAGAAACAGAATAATTATTGCTTCTATGTAAGTTGCAATGATAGAATTTGATGCATATTGTGTGATTTTGTAATCTAATCTGTTTCAGTCTTTCAGGTTTATTATATAGCTGATACAAGGGTTATTCAACTTTTTTACAGTTCATATCGATACCAGATGAACGTTATGAAGAGTATAGGTTAAGTTCAGATTTTATCAAGGAATACATTTTTCCTGGTGGGTGCCTACCTTCATTAAGTAGGATAACATCAGCTATGGCTGCTGCATCACGACTCTGGTAAACGAGCCACTTCTTATTTTCATTCTTTCTGTGGTTGGCTGCTCAACAATATAACTTGCTGTTTTAACTTTACCTGTTTCTTTATCTACAAAATTAAGATAATTTAAATTATGCAGTGTTGAGCACGTGGAAAACATAGGAATCCATTACTACCAAACTCTGAGATGTTGGAAAAAGAATTTCTTGGGAAAGCAGAGGTATTTCTCTTCACAAAGTATTTTTTCCATCATAATTCTTACTGTTGTATCACCTTGTCCACTTGTTTATAACATCAAAACCCTAGAGAGATTGGCTTTGCTTCATTAGCAAGGTATTCTAATGATATGCAATGATGCACTCAATGCATGCGGCGCCTGAAACTTGAACTTGAGAATCAAGGGCCTTGAACAATTATTTCACTAGACCAAGGCTGCATTGGGAAAATCGGATCACATAGCTTCACTTGTAGAGACTTCACTAAAGTGAAGGTTCCAAGTTCAGGTCCCCCTAGCTAATACTATTAAAAGAAGCACCCTGAAATTTTTCAAAAGGAAGAAAGTTGAAAGTGATTTTGGTAACTGATTCATAACACTTTCTGAAGAAGAATCACTTAAAACAGGATCAAGCATTGATAGTTCACCTATATATGTACTTATCATAGAAGACAGCTAAATAAGATCTCCAAGTCAATTTTTGGCATGGTCTAAATAATGGTGAAAAACGGGCAGCAAACCCATTTGGAGGGCAAGATAAAGTTGTTGTAACTGCTATTGTTACCAAGTCTCAAACCTCTGTAGTTGGAAAGTAATGAGTGTCTTACTCCGTACTATAAGATAATAGAGTGGTAAGACAACTAAAGTTTAATTTTTCCTCCAGTGATGATATGTATAAATTTCATGCATATTTATATAGATTTTAGGGTGTTCTCTCTATCATAATCCTTCCTAAAGGTGGCCCCAATTTGCTTTATGCTTAAGTGAAAATGATGTTTCATCTTTTGATGTTGGGACATTGATTTCTGTTCTTAGCAAAATTCATGCTCTGGGATTCGATGATAAGTTCATTCGGACATGGGAATACTATTTTGATTACTGCGCAGCTGGTTTCAAGTCATTGACTCTTGGAAATTATCAGGTAAATCTTTAGAGTTATTACTATCTATTTGCTGCTTAGGTCTATTAACTTTCTGGTAACTGTTTGAAATATGTAAATGAGGTTCAGAGCAGTGGGAAAAGTTGCTTCATTAGCTCCAAATGATTAGTCCAATTTAAAGATTACAATGAATTCACTGTGGTTACTGCATATGGATAATGAATTTAAAAGGATATCACCTTCAAAACATAATCATGTCGAATTCAAACAAGCTACATAAATTTGGATAAACTTGGATGCTAAGGTGAATTTTGAATTTGTTTAAGGGAATCCGCAAGAAAAGTGGTATCTAATTCACCATGATTTCTTGTGCTAAAGAAAGTTCTATTAACAAGTTGCTCTCTCTATGCAAAACATGTCTTGTTCTCAACGCATTGATTCCTACACATTTCAGGTTGTATTTTCACGTCCGGCGAATGCAGTTGCACTTGGGAATCCATACCAATGTTTCCCTTCAGCCTAATGATGTATCTGCACAAACCATGGATTTGGCCTAAGAGAAAGCCTGTTGATTCTAGTTTAGCAATCTCTGACATTCATTTATGCCCAAATAAATTGAATATGTTTTTGGTACATAGAGATTAGGATTGAATCCTAGATCTATGACTAAAAACACAAATAACTTTATAATCAGACCACATAACTAAAGGTCTAATAGATTGAATTAGTTATTAAGAAACTAGTTGTGCTGCTTGCAAGTGCTTTGGTCTCATTTTCATCTTGTTGATCCCATCCCCCAAAGATTTCCAGGTGATAGCAATATCTAGTTAACTGGTAGAAAATACATAGATAACCAACTCTTTTCCCTACACCTTACAAATCAAATATGATTTCAGTGTCACAATGTATTTAAATAACTATTGGTATCAAGCACCAGTTAGGTTGGTGGCAGGAGTTAAAAAGTGTAAAGATCTTAAAAGGGACGACAAGCATAAGACCTGACCTACTGATCATAAATCAAGAAATCCTCTTAACATTTAACTGATTCTAAGTGAAGAACACATTTTGTAAGCCGAACTCGAGCAAAGAAACAATGCAGGAAATAAGCAGAGTCCAGAACCCAAAGTTTCGAGTATACTCCAGGAAGAGAGCACAAAGTAGAAATCCTGTTTCTACACTACCTGAATCAGTTAAGAACTGAGACAAAAGGTAATGATCTGTGGGTAACTGTATGGTAGGGCAAGGAGTATCAATATCTAGAGTAGGAATATGAGATCAACATGACAATTTGCAGAGCTTCATAGGAATTTATTTATCTAATAGTCTGTGCCTCCAATCATCCAAAATCGCAAAGGACAGTTTTCCTGACATTCTAGCTGTTCAATGAAAATTTTGATCTACTTCAATGAATCAAAAAGGCAGCCTAAAGAGAAGGGTAATAAAAGAAATCTCCGTATGAGACATCCAACAATTTTAAGTCAACATACCCCAGGATGTTTGATTCACAAATTCGATTGTATGAGAGTAAATCCCCACAACAAGCTGAATGAATATCAGGACAGGACTTGAAAAGCCAAGAATTGCAAGTTTGGTGCCGATGGCTGGCACCCAGATGGAAAATGGCCTCTCAGGTTAATTCATAATTCCCAACTGAGCATGTACTCTTCGGTTCCATCCCTTGCTGAACATAACCCCCCAATGGAACAACCCCCACCACGAAGCTCAGGTTCAGCCATGAGTGGACACTTGACACCACCTTAGAACTTGAGCATCTCTCCTCCTGTACAACACAAGGGCAAATACAGGGGGAAAATGATTATGTCATTCTCATGTGTCACTACCACTACGTTTATCGCTACCATTACGAAGTGATCAACCCAAGTGGTGGCTTCACTGCTATCAGTAAAAATCCTCAGTACATCTCCATACCAGACTCGTCTAATCAAATCAAGCATAACTATCTATTACTGATTCCCTAGATGAACAAATTAACCACAAAATACCAAAGTAGCAAGAGACTGAGACAGATATATGAAGTAATATGGCTTAATTTAAACACTACGATAGATAGGAAAAGTATCAGGGCAGCAAGCAGACAGATATAAAGCAAACCAAATTTAAACTACACTCAATAGGAAAACGAAGGGCATCTAGCCTGCCTCACAACTACTTATTATGACTAGCAAAATAGATACTGCAAACTACGGGGATTCAAGCAATCCAACCGGTCTGTCATTCATCTGGAGCCTCTCCCCTTGCTTGTTGAAAGAAGAAATTTTCATGATCACCAGCAAAGAGAATATCATTGATGAGAGAGAGATGAAGATCCAGTTGGCATTTAAGCACTTAAATCACTGTTGTTGGGCTTGTCGGCCCTGCGTACCACCATATCCACCACCATAACCAACTTGTCCACCATGGGGACCATTTGCCTGAGAGGTTCCATAGTTTCCAGAAGCTTGTGATGGGTCAGATCTCCATGAATTTCCATACCCAGGATTTCCATTTGCGTCACTATAACCACTTCCCATGTAACCCCCACCATTTCCTTGTAGTTCACCCCCACCTGATCCAACATTGTTATTTGGGGTACCTCCAGAGCGTCCTCCTACAGCTCCATATCCAGCTGCATTGCCATACGACCCATCATTTCCACCATACCCACCATATCCATAACCTTGACTACCATATCCAGCTGCTCCAGTAGGAGATTGACCAGTAGGCCCTGAACCAGCACCACTACCAGCACCAGCACCCCAAGGACCAGCATTCCCATATCCCATGGTACCATAACCAGAGGGGGCCTGTGCGCCCCATGAACTTCTAGGGGCACCTGGTGGACCACCAGCATAACCAGCATTGGGGTTCCCATAGGCTGCAGCAGCCGGACCACCATAACCAGTACCTGCACCACCATAACTTCCATATCCACCATAACCAACACCATTATTAGCAGGACCATACCCATATCCAGGCGTACCATATCCAGATGAGCCATAAGGAGGAAAACCACCTGCAGTACTTTGAGGCTGCATGTACATCTTAGAGTCCATACGACTGTCATAGGAACTAGGGTTGCCACCAGAAGCACCATAGCCATAACCTCCACCCCCGCTGCCAGCACCACCACTTCCAGTCCGGCTAAGCCCACCAGGATTGGCATCTTTGGGAAGAGCTCTCTTTACTTCAACTTGCTTCCCATTCAAATCATGAAAAGTCTTCTGCAAAACTCTGTCAACTGCATCTTCCGTGTCAAAAGAAATAAACCCAAATCCCCGAGGTCTTTGTGTATTCTGATCATACATGATCACTACATCAGTTACAAGGCCATATGCTTCAAAATATTGGCGAAATCCATCTTCAGTTAGGTTGGGTGGCAAACCTCCAACAAATATTTTCTTGGTCCTGATAGCTCCGCCACTTCCAGAATTTCTACTTGTATTAACGTTTCCAGACCTGGCAGACGTTTGCTGCTCCTCTCTTGACAATGCCCTCTTAGCCTCAACCTGAAATTTGATTAGCATCCCACACAAGGAATTTAACATCAAAGCAGAAACAAGAGCTAGCTAATGCAAATTAAGATTAAAACAGTGGATATGTATCAGTTGCAAGCTTAACTATAAAAGTTTGTACTATAGGACTCTAGCACACATTATGAAATATGTAAATCAATAAACACCGCAAATAATTCATAATTTCCGAAGTTCAAGAACGCACAAAAGAACCCAAAAATATAACATGGTAGCAGAAAGTTTCACACAAACCCTAAATAAGAGAAACATTACATTGAGAGAAACCCTGAAATCCACCAATCATTGAACAACAAACTAAACGCAACCCTAACTAGTGCAACTAATAACCCAAATTGTCAATACCCAACAAAACTAATGCAATAGAAACAAAAACTAATTAACAAAAACACAATCTTTTCTCAAAGTTTGCTCCATATCTCACCGTTCTACCATCAATTGTGTGCTTATCCTGGAGAACAGTATCGAGAACCTCAGGATCTGCAAAGACAACAAACCCGAACCCTCTGGGCCTCCCAGTGATTTTATCTCTCATGACGACAGTCTCCAAAACTTCACCATAGTGGCCAAAGTATTCCTTGAGCTTCTCCTCGCTGGTCTCCCACGAAATCCCTCCAATGAAAAGCTTTCCCTGATCTGAATCCATACCTTTTTCCCCCTCAAGAAGTATAGAAATCTAGATCAAAATTTTCAAACTTTCGATTCTGGGTAACCTAATTTTGAGACGGAGATGGTGGGTTTTGGGATTTGGGAACTGCAGAGTGAGGAGGGGAAAGAAGAGGGTTTGGGGCGGCCTAGGCCAGGGGTTAGTGGAGAGAGAGATTTTCTGGGTTAGACTGTGATTGGGGAATAAGAAGCGTACACAGTAAACAGCTTGGACGTTGGAGATTTTGTTTGGATAGAGTGGACGGTGGGGATGGGGTTTCAGGAGTTGGAGCCTGGTCGTCGGCATTCGGCAAGAAAGGGTCTTTTTGCTGGCTGCAGCTGCTTGGGTGTGCTGCTCACGTGATGTCCCTGATGGGATTGGGATATTTTCTTACTGAACTTATTGAGTCTTCTAACTAAATAATTTAGTAGGATTTTCTTTTTATTAGAGGTAGAAAATTTTAAATTTGGGTTTTATGATATATAGGTGGAGGTAAAAATAGTTATATCGATAAAGTAAAATAAGAGATAAAAAAATTATTTTTTATTATGTAACTAATATAAAAAAATATATATGTATTGAAAAATTACACAACAGATTCCACTTTTTTTTAAAAGGAAAATTACAAAGATTCTGTCACTATGTAGTATGTACTGCATCATCTTTACAAAATTCTATCTAATTATTAGTGACTTACGGAATTACGGTACGAAATCATTTTAATTTTGTCAAATTGTATTAACTGTTTAAATAATTTAATAATAATTAAAAATAAAAAAATATTTTTTATTGTGTAACTAAAATTAAAAACAAAATTGATTATGTTGGCTAACTACTCATTTGTCATCTCAAATTAAAAACAAAATTGACAAACTGTTTCTACACTGTCACATGGTTATGAAACCAGACACAACCCGGTCTTAAAGAATAAAAATACAGCAAGAAATACAGCTGCAGGTTGTGTCTCTAATCTCCCTATATTATATGGTGTGGAGAGGTTTGTGTGTAAGGGAATAGGCGAATGTGATTAAGTGAAAGTTTATTCATTGAACATAATCATTTTGCCTGTTTATCTCTTGAATATCATTCATCTTGTACACACAAAATATGGAGCAAACATAAAAAAACTGAATTGTATACTTAAAACACCAAGGAAGCAAGACAGCCACCATCTTTTTCAGCTACAATTCTGGTCTGTCATGTGTAATTCTCATCAGCTTGCAAAGAAACAGATATAAACCCGCTCAAGAAAGGGCTTGAGAGTCATTTTGATGAATAGCAAGTATGAGGAAACTGCGTTGCTCTGCCTTCAGATGGTTGGTTGATTCTCATTATGGCAAAGTGGAAACAGGGCAAATTCGCACTAAAAGTTGATAAAATCCAGGTTGAAGGTAGTGCTCTAATCGACTCATGAAGCAGACTTTTCCCGATTAGTTGTAACAGTTGCCTGTGTTACATTATGGTACAGACGCAAGAATCTGAGTCCTCATCTTCGGAATCACTAACATCACTGCAATAGGCAACCAAGACGTGAGTAACATAATAGTGGCTAGATCCACACACAACTATAGCCTCAGGAAATTACACCGCAAGTTTCACCTTAATTCTGAAGTCTAATTATTCCAAATCCAGCCATGAGATGCTGATTATTAAGTGAAGCAGACTAAAAAGTTAAATAAGATTGGCTATCATCTCAATTTGTGGGGTATATGTCAAACCAAAGGTTCTTTCATTCCATGTTTAAACAAGTTTCTTACAAGTATCATCTTAAAAGATTGTTTTAGTTTCAGAGAAGTTTGAACCAATTTCTTTGGCAGCAAGATAGAATGCTAGAGATAGTATCATGAATCCCTTTTTTCTCATTAAGTTTACCAATCCAAAATAGTAATCAGAGTAAGACCACCCCAATTCTACCACAAGCTGATCAAAGTATTGTACTCTGTCTGAGTAAACTGTTAGAAGATTGCCTACAAAAACCAAATCCTAAATTCAAATTTATCAGCAAAACAATACAAAACATTAGGTGATTGAGAAAACACTGATCAAGGAAGCAACTATTCTCAAAAAGCATATCAGAATCAGAAAATATGTCTTTATTTATATACAAAAAATTATTGCCAGAAGTGAGACTTCAATAACCATATACATGTATGGCTTTATGCAACAATACTTTTAACCCATAGCTTACTGATTTTGTAAATATTTGTCCTCTATGCATTTGTGTACATACTTAAAATGATAAATTAGCTAGATACTTACTCCTTATTCATGCAGTAATAAGAATACATTTGTTAACCAAACTGAACAAAATTGGCCAATGATAAACATCAGGAACATACAAATAATCCTAGAAAAAAAAAGAAAGGATCAAATTCACAATACTTTTTTTAAAAGAAGCAGACATAAGCAGCTAAAACACTTACATAAACGAATTACCTTGGCTCAAATTCCACAACCTCTACAAGATTATTCCCATTTTTATCATTCCACTGCACTTTTCGCCGAGTCTTATCTGACTTTCTCGACATCTCACTTTTCTTGGGCGGTAACAAAGAATTTGACTCACTGTCCTCTTCTCCATCAGTCTGATCTTCACCTTCTGGAGAGTCTACTGTGTCTAAAAGCTTATTTTTATATCCATTAGCATCATTAACATCCTTATGGCTATGGGCCTTATCCATTGAAACCAAACCAATCCACAGACCCCTTAAAAACCTAAATGTACTAATCAACAAAAGATGAATGACAGCCTCAAAGATGGATAATTGGTAAAACAATGCACGGATTCATCACAGATCACTCTAAATCCATTTTCTCAGCTCTGAGAGATCCAATTTGAGAACCCCAACTCTCAAAATCCAAACTTTATGACTCCTACAATATATAAAACCAGAATCTGCTCCTAAAACTTAAAATTTCAATTCCTTTGATCTGATCATCAAATCTTCCATAGTCAAATCACAATCTGCCAAATCCAACCACAAAGTCAACGGAAGTTACCGACACGATCCAACAACTGAAATGCAATTCAAAGATCAGTCAGAAAGCCAGAGAATCCAACAGTCAATACCAATAGCTTAAACACAGTAACGTTGAACGAGAGTGATTCGCCAGAGGGTTTAGAAAGATGACTGTTCCGGAAGCAGAGATTTGGCTAGAAAACAAGAAGCTAGTAGACGATCGGAAACGATATAAACAAATAATAGAGAAAGGGGGGGGGGGGGGAGAGTGTCCAATTCGAAAGTTACAGAATTGGATCACAGAAGCCCTAAAATTTCGAAGAATTAAAATATACAGACGAAAATAGACGAAGATGATGAAATAAATATCAAAGAAATAATTGACGGAGAGAAAGAACGTTTACTTCTTTAATAGGACGAGATCAACGGTCAGGATTAGAGGGGTGGTGAATACGGGGCCCAGGAGAGGCGGCGAGTATACGTTAGTTAGGACATGTTTGGGGAAG